TCGGCCGAACCCTCCTTTCCAGCACCTTAGAGTAGACTTTACCCGGGAGGCTGAGTAGTGTGATACCCCTGTAATTGGCACACACTCTCTGGTCCCCCTTTTTAAAGAGGGGTACCACCACCCCGATCTGCCACTCTTTTGGCACTGTCCCAGACTTCCACGCAATGTTGAAGAGGCGTGTCATCCAAGACAACCCCCCAACACCCATTGCTTTTAGCATCTCTGGACGGATCTCATCAATCCCCGGGGCTTTGCCACTGCGGAGTTGTTTGACTACCTCAGTGACTTCCACCAGGCTAATTGACGATGATCCCTCCTCCGCCTCCAGCTCCGCCTCCACCAAAGAGGGCGTAGTAGTTGGATTCAGGAGTTCCTCAAAGTGTTCCTTCCACCGCCCGATAACCTCCTCAGTCGCGGTCAACAGGGTCCCATCCTTACTGTACACAGCTTGGATGGTTCCCCGTTTCCCCCTCCTGAGGTGCCGGATGGTCTTCCAAAAACACTTTGGTGCCGACCGAAAGTCCTTCTCCATAGTTACCCCGAACTCCTCCCATACTCGCTGCTTTGCCTCCATCACGGCAGAGGCTGCTGCCCTTCGAGCCTGTCGGTACACTGCAACTGCCTCTGGAGTCCCTCCGGAGCTCCGAACCTGGACGCTTCTCCTCTCCACAGAGACAGCGGCGTCGATGAGCAGATTATGTAGAACGCCGTCGCACCGAGTCGTGTCGCATATGAATCACTACACTGATATCACTGTGTCTGATATATGTGTTGCCGCGGCTTCGGCAATGGAGGTTTTGAACATAGACCACTCTGGGTTCAATGTCCCCTACCTCCACAGGAATGTGAGAGAAGCTCCGCCGGAGGTGTGAGTTGAAAATCTTTTGGACCGGGGCCTCCTCCAGACGTTCCCAGTTCACCCTCACCCTTCTGATACTTATATTTATATTTATTCAACTTAAACGTAACCAAAAACCTTGGCCGTGTCGACCCAGCGGGGAACGTGGTCCAGGCATGAATGAGGTTTGAGGGAAAACGTGTTTGAAACGGACCGATTGCTGCATGTCAGATGGTCTTAGATAAGCTCACACGCGTGTGCAGAACAAGTGATGCAGATCTCAACCAACCAACAAGTTAAAGCCTTTCCCAGTTTGTTTTCAGTGAATCTTTGCTGTCTCAGGCATCTCCACTCGGTAGATTGCACTTGGCACCAGCTTGGTAGCCTCGTTGCCAAAATGCTCTTCTAGTGATTTGAAGTAATTGAGGCCGCTGTTAATCACGCTAAACTTGCCTTTCTCTTTCTGCCCCTCAGGCTGCTGGTCTCGTGGGCTCTGACGGGGTCAAGGATCTTTTCCAATTCAGGATCAACCATCTCCATTTGAGTGCTGTCTGGCTGCTCCACATCCAATGGAATTAGACATCAATACCTGATCAATACTTAGTGTTCTGGCCGCTGAGAAATAAGCTGCTTTGAGTGTGAGACTAGAAGACCAGAGAGAGGAAACCGGCACCTTACCTGCCGGAATAAACCTGAATCGATTTGACCTGAAAGGCTTTAGGTGACGAATCTCTCCCTTCCAAGATGGATGAAACGCACAACAACAGGACGGCCTTGGCCAAAGGCGCCAAGGACATCGCTAAAGAGGCGAAGAGGCACGCCGCCAAAAATATCGGCAAAGCCGTGGACCGCGCCGCCAACGGGTACTCGGCCAGCCGCAGCTACGACCGCTTCCAGAACGACGACGACGAAGGCGAGAGCGCCTACGGCCGGCCGGACGGCCGCCACCCCGACCACGTGGCCAACGGCGCCGACGGCGAGGAGGGGGAGGACGACGGGGCCTCCAGCGACGCCACGGAGGGCCACGACGACGAGGACGAGATCTACGAGGGCGAGTACCAAGGCGTGCCGGCCCGGGGCGAAGGTCAGGCGGCGGCGGCGGCGGGCCAGCCGGTGTGCGACAGCGCGAAGAGCCGCAATGAGCTGGAGAGCGAGAGGCGGTCGGACGAGGAGGAGCTGGCCCAGCAGTACGAGCTCATCATGCAGGAGTGCGGCCACGGGAGGTTCCAGTGGCAGCTGTTCTTCGTCCTGGGGCTGGCGCTCATGTCGGACGGCGTGGAGGTGTTCGTGGTGGGCTTCGTCCTGCCCAGCGCCGAGACGGACATGTGCGTCCCCAACTCCGGCGCCGGGTGGCTCGGTGAGTCTCTGACATCACTGCTGTGGCTACGGAGGGGCCCTTCTTCCCTCTAACACATCCCCTCTTTTCTCCAGCAGCTTCCTAACGTGAGCGACGGGGTCCGAGAGCAGTTTTGGTTTGATTTCGCATCGGAGATTTTTGCTTTTCGCTCTTCTTGGTTTGAGCCTCTGTTGCAAAAAGCTGATGTCATGTATCCTTGCAACAATCAGAGCGTAGCAACTTTGATATTACCGTCGTGCTAGCTGCTCTGTGACGCCGCAATGCTAATGTATGCGTGCTAACATGCTTGCACCAACAATGCTAATGGGCTGACGTTGAGCAGGTGTAGCGTTTACACTGTTTGTTCACGTTAGCATGCAAAAATGTGCTAATTGGCACCAAACCCAGAGTTAAGATGCCCGACATTGTCGTCCCCATGTGACCGCCTGTTGACCGTGTAGTTAGTGTTGTAGAGTAAGACGAGTTTTGAATCCAAATCTTCAAATGGCCCCGGACGGCCCCCACATTCACAGGCCGTACACGCGGAGGAAAGCAGCTCACAGTCAGCATGCATATTTATTCAGAGAGAATCAGTCCTCCAACAGCGTGTCTAAAAAGAGAGAAAAAGCATCCTTTACAATCCGTGTGAAGTCACAGGTTTGGGGGGTTTGTGGTATTTGAGCAGCTGTTGTTTACGACGTGCAGCGCTGCACACGCAGGCGCATGCGACTGTAACGCCGGTGCTTTTGGAGGGTTTTCACCGGAGGGTTGTCATGGCACCCGGTATTTGGATCCTTGAGCAGGAGGTGTGTTTATCTGTGGATGGATTCCTCCCACACTAAAAGGGAGGGTTGTGTGTTTGTGGGCCACTAGTGTGTCTGTACGAGCAATTCAGCCTCAATCTTTGCCTCTCTAATACAAAAAAAAGCCCATATTTGTGTCCTAATGTGTCCATTAAAGCGGTTTATTTTTACAGCCCAACTCAATGTGCTTTCAAAGATCAGTCAAAGATCTTAATGAACAAAAGAGATTAGATAAAACAATGTTACATGTAACCCTGAAAAGTGAATAACACCATACTGGTTTAAGTAGTAATTGTGGGATTACTATTACTTAATTAGTAATTGTGGGATTGTGTCAGATGTCTTCTGCTACATGACGGCGTGCTTTTCTCACCCGATACGGAACGCTTAACAGGTCCATTTTATGTGAGTAGGATGATTTATTATTCACCCGTATTCTGACTCATCTCTCAGTGGGAGACAAGAGGGAGAGAACAGCAAGAGTGAGTCATTTTAGCAGCTCGCTCACACACCACATTAGTAGAGAACGTGTGTGTGTCTGTGTGTGTGTGTGTGTGTGTGTGTGTGTGCTGACGTGTGAATGTAGTTAAGGCTCAGAAACACAAAGCAGCATAAATGTTCACGATGTTAACTGGAATCAATCAAGTCATTTCCTCATAGACCTCTATGGGACCAGAGGAGTCGCCCCCCGGTGGTCAGCAGTGAGAATGCAGGTCTTAGACGTCGCTCTGGTGCCCACACGCAGGAAACTCTCGCTCCGCTCATTGGAACCATCAGGTGGACACTTTCCGTTGTCTGTTCTTGTTCCCGGATTCGCTTCAGCTGAGCAGTCAATAAGATTGATTTCTCTGATGGAGGGGCTCCGCCCCCCCGTCGGGGGCCGGTAAGTGTGGTAAAGCCCCCTAAAATGAGTCCACAGACGCTCACTGACGGGTCAACAGGTCGCAGCCTCTTCTAGAGATCAAGTGTGTGTGTGTGTGTGTGTGCTTTGTGTATTTTTTATTTTAGAATGATCTACTACAGATGAAGTACTTAATTGCAAGTCCTGCGTTTAAGATGTTACAGTTTTGAGACGGTACAGAAGTATTATCAGCAACATGCACCTTTAGTATCAAAAGTAAAAGTACTCGTTATGCGGACAAAAGCGTTTTGTTACGTTATTTTGTTCATATCACTGAACATATTATATCACATGATTTAGTTTAATGAGGACAAGTTGAGATGCTTTTTACACTTTTATACTGCATTATATATTAGCAGTAAAAGTATAACCTTAACTGATGAGATGTAGAAGTTAGTGTCATAGAATGGAAACACAAAATGTAGAGACAGAAGGACAGAACTTGAGTACCGTATGAAATGTGCTCAATATGCCAAATATTCCACCCAACCGTTTTAAAAAGGAACTAAAATTCTGTGATGTGATACTTTCGCATTAACATATTTAATGGACAATGATTAGATTCATCGTCCTCCTTCATTATGTAGCATCTCTCATATTTCTCTCCATAATCTACTCTGAATATCTCCCCCGCTGCCCCCCACCTCAAAAACACATTACAAAAGACGAGATGTTATCCGACTGCGGGTTGTTACGGGTCTTTTCTTCTTCCCTCTCTTACATCTGGAGATCCGGCTCCTGGAGTTAATCTCTGCAGCATTGTGCTTCGCTGCAGTTTAGCCACGGTAGACTGGCTCACGTAGACCCCCACTCCCCCCCGAGGAGGAGCAGCCTTTTATACACACCTCCTCTCTCTCTCTCTCTCACTGCGATCTGCTGTCCTCCGGCCACACGGTGAGCGTCTCGAGTTCTTATTAATCGATGGAAATCTTCTTCTTCTTCTTCTACCTCGTGTTGTTGTGTTTGTCTTCGTTGAGCCATCGTGAGCCGAATCGACAGCTGATGAAAAGGCAAAATAAATCTGACAGACAAATCCAGGCACAGCAACATTCGCCTGCATCTCTTTGGCCCCCTTTTCTGTCCTCTTGCTCCTTCACAATAAAAGCCCCCCGGATGTCCTCACGATCCAACTCAGATCAACCAACCTGAAACATCATCAGAAGTTTGGGAAAGAAATGTTCCCGACTGGCGTCTCACTCACTCCCTACTGTAGCCCACCTGCCAATCAACCTGCGTCCACGGGGAAGCCCCGCCTCATCTCACCAACAGCAGAGAAAACTCTCCGTCTGCGTTCTTTCTGCTGCTTCCTCGTCAACCCCCCACCCCCCAAACATACGTATTAGCATTTTTATTAGCATGTAGAGTGAAGTGTATTATTTACCGTCGTGACAACCCCCACCTCTCTCCAGCCGCCCCGCCTCCATGCTGCCGGCTGGAGGGCAGCATGGAAGAGAAACGGCCCCCGAGGGACGAACGCGTCCACTTTAGAAAGCAAAGCTTCAACAACTGCAGTTTATAAAAGTGGTTTCTGGCAGTCAAATGTTCATCGTGATGAGAGACACTCACACTCCTTGAGTCACGCTGGTCTTACTTGACAGATGGGATCAGCTGTCAAATGTGGTTTAATGAAAATCAAGGTTTTTGGCGGGCACCCGTGCAAACAGAAGGGAGAAAGAAAGCTGCCGTTGTGCCGTGAGCAGGTGTGAGCAGGTGTGGGGAGGTGTGAGCAGGTGTGGGCAGCTGTGGGCAGGTGTGGGGAGGTGTGAGCAGGTGGGGAGGTGTGGGGTGGTGTGAGCAGGTGTGGGGAGGTGTGAGCAGGTGTGGGGAGGTGTGAGCAGGTGTGAGCAGGTGTGGGGAGGTGTGAGCAGGTGTGAGCAGGTGTGGGGAGGTGTGAGCAGGTGTGGGGAGGTGTGAGCAGGTGTGGGCAGCTGTGGGCAGGTGTGGGAAGGTGTGAGCAGGTTGGTGAGCAGGTGTGGGGAGGTGTGGGAAGGTGTGAGTAGGTGTGAGCAGGTGTGGGGAGTGTGGGAAGGTGTGGGAAGGTGTGAGCAGGTGTGGCAGGTTGTGAGCCGGTGTGGGAGGTGTGGGAAGGTGTGAGCAGGTGTGAGCAGGTGTGGGGAGGTGGGGAAGTGTGTGGGGAAGGTGTGAGCAGATGTGAGCAGGTGTGAGCAGGTGTGGGGAGGTGTGGGAAGGTGTGAGCAGGTGTGAGCAGGTGTGGGGAGGTGTGGGAGGTGTGAGCAGGTGGGAGGTTGTGAGCGGTGGGAGCAGGTGTGGGGAGGTGTGAGCAGGTGTGGGGAGGTGTAGGTGTGGCAGCTGTGGGCAGGGTGGGAAGGTGTGAGCAGGGTGAGCAGGTGTGGGGAGGTGTGGGAAGGTGTGAGTAGGTGTGAGCGGTGTGGGGAGGTGGGGGAAGGTGTGGAAGGTGTGAGCAGGTGTGAGCAGGTGTGAGCAGGTGGGGAGGTGTGGTGTGAGAGGTGTGAGCAGGTGTGGGGAGGTGTGGGAAGGTGTGAGCAGGTGGGGAAGGTGTGAGCAGATGTGAGCAGGTTGAGCAGTGGGGAGTGTGGGAAGGTGTGAGCAGGTGTGAGCAGGTGTGGGGAGGTGTGGGAGGTGTGAGCAGGTGTGGGAAGGTGTGAGCAGATGTGAGCAGGTGTGAGCAGGTGTGGGGAGGTGTGGGAAGGTGTGAGCAGGTGTGAGCAGGTGTGGGAAGGTGTGAGCAGGTGTGGGAAGGTGTGAGCAGGTGTGGGAAGGTGTGAGCAGGTGTGAGCAGGTGTGGGAAGGTGTGAGCAGGTGTGGGAAGGTGTGAGCAGGTGTGGGGAGGTGTGAGCAGGTGTGGAAGGTGTGAGCAGGTGTGAGCAGGTGTGGGAAGGTGTGAGCAGGTGTGGGAAGGTGTGAGCAGGTGTGGGAAGGTGTGAGCAGGTGTGGGGAGGTGTGAGCAGGTCATGCCTCCCCGGCCGACCCTTCTACTCATCAGACGTCTTCCGTCCACTCAGAAAGCGACGTTACATCTGAGCTGCTTATCGAACATTCTATGTTCTGCAAATCAACAGAAACACTTACTCCTCTGAGGCGCTTGGAAAGCACCACTTAAAGCTTCATCCGATGTTTATCTGTGTGTGTGTGTGTGTTTGTGTGTGTGTGTGTGTCTAATGCAAGACCGATGCATCCTAGACTACGAAGAACTACAATGCTATATAGATGCCGGTAGCACTGTGCCGCGCCCCGTGGAATGAAGGATTGGATGCAAACCTCTTCCCAGGTTTCATGTGCGTTGTGTGCTGACGTGGTTCACCCCCCCCTTCTGTGTTCCCAGGGAGCATCGTGTATCTGGGGATGATGTTCGGCGCCTTCTTCTGGGGCGGCCTGTCGGACCGGGCGGGACGCAAGCAGTGCCTGCTCATCTCCCTGTCCGTCAACGGCTTCTTCGCCTTCCTGTCCTCCTTCGTCCAGGGCTACGGCATGTTCCTCGTGTGCCGCATGGTGTCCGGCTTCGGGTGAGTCCTCCTCCGCTTCGTCTGCAGGAGAAACGTCGACGTTATATATAAAACACACCACTGCCATGGTGTGATTGAGAGGTGCAGCCCTGGACGGTCCAGTCTGTTCTCAGCAGCCTCCGTAAACCCAAAACAAACCGCTTAATGGCTTCGCGTTACATTTTTAATGAGGAGCTTTAGCTTTTATGTCATCACTTAAATCTCAATCTGCTTGCACGTGTGTGAGCTCATCGGGGTTCAAGAGATTCGTGGTTCCACTTTGGGAATATGTTCCACTTTCAAACGCTGGGATGAGACTTTTGCATGTTTAACTAAATTCTGCTTGTCTCATTGACATTCCTCCCTCGCCTCATTAACTTCCATTAGACACGGAGGGCCAAATAGAGAAAAAAGAGATTCAAACTTCGTGTTCGGCTTTGCGGTCTCCAACGCTGTTTTTCACTAAAGGCACCAACAAATTGCAATCTACGTTCAGGGATATTTCCGGCTGAAAGTCACTTTTAAAGTTAGAATTTTAGAATTCAGGCCTGATTCCGTCACATGACGAGCTCACGGATTGTTTTCTTCCCGCCTGCAGCATCGGGGGGGCGGTGCCCATCGTGTTCTCCTACTTCGCGGAGGTTCTGGCTCGGGAGAAGAGAGGAGAGCATCTGAGCTGGCTGTGCATGTTCTGGATGATCGGAGGGATCTACGCCTCCGCCATGGCCTGGGCCATCATCCCGCACTACGGTGAGCGAATCGACCAACCAGCCGGTGGCCCGACACCGACCCACCAGGCGGCTTGCGTGGTGGGGTTGGATTGGGAGAGGCCCCGCTGGGCGCGGAGGAGCACGGAGCAGGTGGCGGTGTGGGTGGAGGCCCACACAGAACACGTGGAGGCCTTTTTATAGTCGGCAAGCTGTTTCTCTGGTCTTTGTCCGGCCGCAACGGGGCGGAAATCTTCACACGAGGTCCAGGAGCCGCGGCGTCTTTGTCGGAGGTGAAAACGTAACGGGTCGTAGCGAGGGAGGATAAAAACAGAGAGAAGGGAGGAGGTGTGACATCAATCTGTAGGGGAGGAGAGAGGAGCAGAGGAAGAGATTAGGAGGACCAGGTTGATTTATGTGGCCGGTGTCACGGGTAATCGAAAGGTGAGGGGACACGGCCGAGCGAAGAGGGAGGAGGGGGAGGAAGATACCAGCGTAAAGGGGAGGATGAGGGAAGAGGAAAGGTTTCTTTGTTGGCCTTTTTTACAGGGCTGCTGTGTCCGTCATCAGGACAAAGTCTCTCCTCAGAGTGTCTGACTCTACGATGTGTGCTAATTAAGTCTCGAATAAAGTCATGACCCCAGAAAACTCGTTCTCTGCAGGAAAAAAAGCCTCTGTCTGCTGGGATTAGGCCTCTCGTAGAGTTCTCATCGTGCAGAACACCGCGTTCACTCACTTCAAACGCGGCTGTTGTGCAGAGAAAATGAAGATTGTAATATAACTGCTGCTTCTTCTTCTTCTAAATCAACCAGACGGAGCCAAACATCTGCTTCCTTCCGTTCACTTGACATTCGTGTTTGAGTTGAAATCGGATGTAAATACACTTTTACTTGGTAAATAAGTGAATAGGCACACGACACAATACAAAGCCATGTCACCATAGATAAAATTACCATCCACCATCCACTGCTCGTCTGTTTGACTCTAAACGGACCATAATTTACTAAATGAACATCATTCTGTTTTAAAGAAGACTTGAAACTAGAGACTGAGACCATAAACTCATGTTTACAATGTTTACTGAGGGAATAAATCAAGAGAGAAGTAGAGTCATTTCCTCATAGACGTCTATGGGAGCAGAGGAGTCGCCCCCTGCTGGTCACTACAGAGAAGTAGAGTCATTTCCTCATAGACGTCTATGGGAGCAGAGGAGTCGCCCCCTGCTGGTCACTACAGAGAAGTAGAGTCATTTCCTCATAGACGTCTATGGGAGCAGAGGAGTCGCCCCCTGCTGGTCACTACAGAGAAGTAGAGTCATTTTCCTCATAGACGTCTATGGGAGCAGAGGAGTCGCCCCCTGCTGGGGCACTACAGAGAAGTAGAGTCATTTCCTCATAGACGTCTATGGGAGCAGAGGAGTCAGCCTCTGCTGGTCACTACAGAAACGAAAGTCATTTCATCATAGACGTCTAGTGGAGCAGATGAGAGCGCTGTGCTGGTCAATAAAGAACAGGAGAAGCATTTCTCATAAACGTCATTGGAAGCGAGGAGTCGCCCCCGGCAGGCTTCACAGACATTAGACCCCTTCCTTCTG